AGACGTTTCAGAAAGCCGACAGCGAGACAGTTTCAACATAGATACCAAAAGCCTTTATATCATTGTTTTCAGCTGTGTGTGGAGTTTGTCTTTCACAGAATTAATTATTTTTTACTCTGACTTCCACACTTATCACTGAATTTATCGCGCTCTCTCCTTCCTGCACGCCTGTCGGACCGGAGCGGAGTGGAGGTAGTATAAACTGGACTTGAAATGCACAGCTGCGACCAGCGCAGCGGAGCGGAGACGGAACGCAAGTAGTGTAAATTAGGGGTAAGCCTGGTGGTAGTGTTTATAGCCTAGGTAGCAGAGTGCTACATTACTAATGCTAGGTTCTAGCCACTTATCCTGTTGTCTTAGTGTTTGGTGGCACAAAAAATGGGTGTAGGGTGCAAGTAGGGACTGTCGGGCCTCTAGGGCTATAATAAACTGAAGGATCACGACAATAGAAAACAAATGCTTTAAAGACATTTCCAGTTCCCATGGTTCCTGAATCCAACAGCTGGGAATATTTTGTCCAGCCACCATGTTCAGCTGTCAATCATGATTCCACACCCTCTGTCATCTGAGGCCCCGCCCCGGAACCAAGACAAGTCAGTTTTAAACTAAAAACAAGTATCTTAGTAGTTTTAAATCTTTTTAGTTTAGAAATTTGTCTTTCAATTTCAAAATAATTTTTCAGATAATAATATATTTTTTTGAAGTTTTAAAATTTTTCTTTCCGTTTCAATAATTTTTTATTTTTTGCAACAAATTTTATGGCTCAAATTTACCTCCATATTTTCCTGTGTGCATACCTGCAGTGTGTGGCGACACACTCGTTGCTGCAGTACTCCTTGTCCCAGTCTTTGCTCTCCACGGCGGGGTTCGTGCAGCCGGCGCGCACGCAAATATTGGGCGGAGCTGTGGAGGTCACGCTGGGACCGGGCGCCACGTTCAGCTCCACCTCCATCTGTGAGAGGAAGACGATGAGGTTTAACGTCAAAYATTCTCAGCTGATGGTAGCGTTACGGTATAAAGTGGGCACTTACACCCTCCTCGGCCTCGCCCACTTCCTCTGCTGCTACCATCACAGTGTCCCGCCCCACCTCCACCGTCACGCCTGACGTGACAGACGTGGCTGTGTCGTCGGATGACGCCAGGATGATTGGCGCCGTCAGGTCCGCCTGCCGCGTGGACGGGATGACTTTAATCTGCAGCGGAGGCGGGGCGGTGGCCGCGGCCGCTCCCCCGCCCCTCGGCTTGGCCTGCAGAGGGGGCGGAGCCTGGGCGTGCACCATCTGCTGCAGCCGGGGCGGGGGCGGCGTGCTGTGCATCTGCTGTAGCGGCGGCGGCTGGCGTGACGACGAAGCGGCGGAGGCGGTTACCGAGACGCCACCGGAGGGCAGCGGCACCTGCTTGATGATGATCTTGGTGACGGTGGGGGGGTTGGGGGCGGCGCTGGCGGGCGGAGGCTGGGGCTTGATGGCCCCAGTGCGGGAGCGCGTGGTGACCTGAGGGAGGTCCAGGATGATGTTGGAAGTGCAGATGTTGGTGATGGTGTTCTCCTCTGGGTTGTAGTGCTGGGACCTGGTGGAGCGGGGGGCAGGGGCGGGGG